TGGCTAACACTTTCCACTGGGCCCTTTCCCTGTTTCTATGCACATTCAGGCAGCCCTGGGTTTGGTCCCCATGGCTTGCCCCCACCCTGGCAGAAATCTGCACCTGACCAAAGAAGGAGGGGAGAATGGAACAGATTGAGTCAAGAATGCCAGAGTTCCACTCTTCTTTCCTAAAATTCAACTATTTTTCAAACATAAATACTTTTCAGATTACTGTATCCTTTGATCAATTTCCAGATCACTGAGTGACTGTTTTTACCAATTCTTTTCAACTTTTATACTTTTTAAGGGGGGGAGAATTTGCCAACTTTCATGTAGCCATAGCCACAAAAAACTCACTGCCCTGACAAAAATTTATTTTTCTACAGAATGTAGTCAAAGTTTAACTGAAATATTTAAATGATTTCTTTACAATATTACTGGTGCTATACATACAGGAAACTCCATCAAAACACAGTTAGACAAAGCTTTTATTTTTTTTCCTTTGTTTTTATTTTTTATTCATTCATTAATTCCATTATTTGTATAATAAATATAAATTGATTCCCTATTCTGTGCCAGTCTACTACATTTTAAAATCTTTTCACCTATATCATCAGCAATTGCTTCACTCTTACATGAGCGGCTCTGTAATTCAAATATGTGGTTCATCAATTACAAATTATGTCATGAATCTTCAACTCTGTCCTATCAACAATAAAAACATTCACATAACACTTGTCACATGCCAGATATTGTTCTAAGTGCTTAACAGGTGAATTCATTTAACACACTGTAACTCTACAAATAGCTACTATTATTATTTCTTTTATAGATGAGAAAACAGAGGCTCAGGGAAATTAAGTAACTTGCTTAAGATATGGACAGCCAGTAGCAAACAAAGGATTTGAATTCAGGCACTCTGACTCCAAAATTGATGCCTTAATCACATTACACTGCCTCATGAATGTGTTATCAGCAAATGCCAAGAATCTATTACTCACTTTGTATTACCAAATCCACCAGGGGAGAGAAGCATATACTTCAAAAGACTATACTGACAGTCTTTTCACTTGACATTATTATGTCTAGCACCCCAAATGACCCTACTACTGTTTATTAAAGCTAACTGCTCAAAGAACTTTTGAATTCGAAGTTGCTGTGTTAGAAAGCCGATATTAAAAAAAAAAAAAACTATACTAAGTGTATTAAATTAAATTTTTACAGACAATTCTTGTCTACTGATTTAAATGTGAAAGGCATCATACTTTTTAACATAAAATTAACATATCAAATATTGGTAAGAATTAACAATAGCTATACTATTATATTTCAAGAATACATATAATATTTCAGGAAACAAATACACATAATATTTGCTTCAACTGGCCTTTCCACTTGACTCTTTCCAAAATGTAACTACAAATGTAAAATTCCAAAGCTTCATATTTGACTTTTGCTAGACTGAATTTACTTATATGGACTTCTCCACCTATTTGAAAGTATAAATCTACAGACAAAAGTATAATTGCTTACCCCATGACAATCTTGCTTATTTTGCCATTTAAAATGCTATAAAAGCCTCAAGAGAGATCACACAAATTTCTATTCCTTAATAGAATATATGTGCCTGTGGAGAATTCAAATAATGAAACCAAGATAGCCACTACCAACCTCCTTTCTCCCAAACATTAAGCAAGAAGGCTGAGCAATAAGGGCATAGAAATTTGTTGTGAAAGTCTTTTTCTTACATAATCTTTCAACTGACAAAGCAACTGTTTTAGAAGGAACTAAATGTGCTCTGTAAAGCACAAACATACATGCTCTGAGGATTTTTTAAACTTGCATCTTAAAAAGTAACTGTTTGCTTTAGCAGCATTCACTTGACCTGGACAGATGTGAACCATAAGTACAGGGGATTATGAAATCTAAGAACAAAGCAAGGAGCTGAAAGACCAAAGAGGAGAAAATTTCCCCCAAACAGAATAATTATTTCCATATAAATCATTTTTGTGTTTTTTTTAAATGACCTTTATGACCCATGAGGTAGTGGAAGAGGAAAGTCAAAATGACAAATTGCTAATCATGCCAAGAGACCCCTTTTCCCTTTCCTGATGATGTTTCCTCAACATGAGTGGTAGTTTCCTCAGGCAAGCCAATGACAGAATGATGATTTACTATATAAGCTATGCATATCTGAGGACTTAGCATACCTTAAGTCTAGACTCCTTTACAATGTAATTTCTAATAAAGAATGCAATAGGAATTGATACATCGCTGTAAGGAACTTTATTTCCAATATTACATAATAATGACTACTACTTTAAGGAAAAGAAACATAAAGTAGTAGTTGCTAGTATTCCCTAAAATATTTACCCCCAAAATACTCTGTATTTATCTTGTGCCACAACAAATAAGACAAAATCTAAAGAACAGCTATTTTTCCCCCAAAACAATGAAATGTTTTATATTATTTCTTCACTGCTTCTTAATCCTTAACCCACAGTGCTCTGGGTATTCTTATCTCTGTATTTCTAACCTGATTGTTTCTTTTTAATTCTCATAGTCTGGGCAAATTAATTTTCCTAAGTCCAACTCCAATCCTTTCATTTCCTGTACAAGAGCTTAAAATTTTGATGGGGCTGGGGTTGTAGCTCAGTGGTATAGCTTTTGCCTTGCACGTGTGAGGCATGGATTCAATTCTTAGCATCACATAAAAATAAACAAATAAAATAAAGGTCTTGTGTCCATGTATAACTGTAAATTTTTTTCTTAAATCTTGAACTTTCTTTTAAAAAAATTCATATTGGTACATTATCATTATTTAAAATAATGAGATTCACTGGGATATATTTATATATACACACGATGTGGTCAACTTCATTCCCCAGAACTTCTCTTTTCCCTCCCCTCCTCCCTACTTTTGGTTCTCTTCTTCTACTATACTGGTTTCCCTTCTATTTTCATTAGATTCCCTCACTTTCTTCCCACTTCTTCTCTTCAGCTTCTACATATAAGAAAAAAGGAAGACCCTTGCTTTCTGAGTCTGTTTGCACTTAACAGAATGCTTCATAGTCCATTCATTTTCTGCAAGTGACATAATTTTGTTCTTCTGAATAAAAGTCCATGTTTTTCCTATCCATTCATCTGTTGACAGGCACCTAGGCTGGCTCCATAGCTTGGATACTGTGATGTGCTTGTATTGCTATGGTATGTTGACTTTCATTCTTTTGGATAAAAACCAAGGAGTGGTATACCATATGATGGTTCATTCCTCGTCTTTTCAGGAACTGTCATACTGATTTCCATAGTGGTTGTAGTTGTACTAATTTACAATTCCAACAGCAGTATATAAATGTTTCTTTTCCCCATGTCCTCGCCAGCATTTGCTATTATTTGTATTCTTGATGACTGCCACTCTACCTGGGGTGAGACGACATCTCAGTGTAGTTTTGACTTGCATTTCCCTTATTGCTAAAGATGCTGAATACTTGTTCATATATTTGCTGGCCATCTAATCTCAAATTTTCAATGAATAATATTATTCTATACTTGTATTGATGATAATAGAACCTCATAAGAAAACCCCAACTTATCTTCCTACATTCACCTACTATTATTTCTACATTCATCTCTCCACTCCAGATAAACCAAACTTTTGATTTCCTGAACTGAGTCTTTTGTTCAAACTGTTCATTCCACCTAGACTATTCCCCCCACACCTAACCTTGCCCTGCTAAATTTCTGTCTAGGGCCCAGCAAAAATAAAATCCATCCCACAAAAACTTTCATAATACCAGCACTACATTGACTATAACCCCTTCTCCTCTTGACTTACCAAAGTATTTTCTAAACCTCTCTGAGATTATCAAATTCCATTGTGTGGTACTGTTATTCATGATTTTACCTTTGTAGCTTAAAACACTGAGGCCCTGCATATAATATTTGTTCAATGACACCAAAATCCCTCTTTAAAAGAATACATGATAATTCTCTTAATATATCCTTCCCTTTTAAATTTTCTTTTTGTTTTCCCTGACTTTAAAAAAAGACCATCCTGATCTTTTTCAAGTAATCTTTTTCTTTATGTTTAAAAATATAGGACCCAGGCCTGACAATTCCTGCTGAATGCTGTGAGCCTATCAAACCACAATTACAGCAACTCTCAGTGTATTCAGCAAAATTCACTATTAAAGACTACAGAAATATACAGGTTGAGTATCCCTAATCCAAAACTTTCAAATGCTCCAAATCTGAAATTTGTTGAATATTATGTTGTCATTCAACAAGTTTTAGATTTGGAGCATTTCAAATTTTGGACATTTAAATTAGGGATGCTCAATCAGTAAAGTCTATGCAAACATTCCAAAATCAAAAAGTCTGAAATCTTAAAAACACTTCTGGTCAAGCATTTTGGACAAGGGATACTCAACTTGTATTTTAAATATAGGGAATTAATTTAAGAAACTTCCTAGAGTCCCAAGCCCACCTCTGGGATAATGAACTTTAATTATTAATAGGCTCTTTTTTCAAAGCCACCTGAATTGTACTAATTGACATCAATGCCCAACTTCCCCTAATTGATGAAGTTAGTAGAGTGATTTAACTTGTTGAGATTTTTAAAACACTTCTAAGAAATATCAATAGTCCATTACTGCTTATAAATAAGAATTTAAAAAATGAAAATAGCCATTTATATGTCATTATAAAATATGATCGCAAAACCAGAACAGCCCCAGATAAACTAAAGTCACATTCAAATCTCACACTTATATAAAACTGACTGAATATTAACCTTGATTTTTGAAAAAAATACGAACAAGTTTCAACTATCTTTTCTGACTCTATGAATACTTCGATAGTAGCAGAAGCCTAAATAAAAATCTACAGTGTTAATTCTAAATGTATATAATTCTAAATGAGTCTTTCTTGCCCAAAACTAATTTCTTTAAGGCTTTGTTTTTGTGGATTCTGCTAATCTGCATGCTTGATAGACTTAACCGAGAGGTCAATTAAATTACCTGTTGAATGAGTGAGCGAGCCTCTTCAGAGACACATTCTGGCATGTTTAAAGTAGTGTGGGTATTTATTCCTGCTGGATGGCACTCAACCAAAGTCTGAAACAATCAATCAGGTACATTTCTTATCCTAGATAACATCATACTCTGTTCTATCACAGTATTTACAGACAGCAAGGACACAGAGCTCAACAACCATCTTAACTGGAGGCACAGTAATCAACACAATGCCACCTAAGCAGTTCATGCTGAGGGCTGTGAGACTATACAACTTCTAACGGAAACAAAGGCAGAGTCATCATGACCACATTATAAGCTTATGCACCTGTCCCCTTAGTTATAAAATTAATGACTCATAATAGAAAAGTTTATATTACATACAAAACATTTAAAAAGGGACTGGATATCTCCAAAATATTTTAATGTTCTTAAAAACTAAGTTTAGGGGTGGGATTGTGGCTCAGTAGGACAGTACTTGCCTAGAAGGGGTGGGATTGTGGCTCAGTGGTACAGTACTTGCCTAGAATGTGTGAGGCACTGGGTTTGATCCCAGCACCACTTAAAAATAAATAAAATAAAGATATTGGGTCCAACTACAACTAAAAAAATTTTTTTAAAAAACATTTAAAGTTTAGAAATTGCTAGTAGTAATATTTTACATCTATATAGCCCTTTGGAGTTTAAATATATGTAGAGGTGATTTGTAAACTCTATAACAAACTTAGTTTGATGTTCATATATTTAAGGAAGCTACTTACAAAAGCATAATTGTTCATCTATTTTCTTCCCAGGAGGCAATCTGCACAATATTCTAAAATCTATTAACCTTAAGCATCATACTTAAAAGTTACTTATTAGAGAATATAAATTCTGTATGTCCTAATATGAAAACATATAGGAAAAAATTATAATATTGAGAAAGATAATGTTACCTGTTATATCTGCATTAATTTTCTAAAAATGAGAATTCCCTCCCAGGTCCAGATAAGATGTTTACCTCTAGAGAATTCTAATACATACTTGTATAAACATTACAAATCTTACTCTGTTAAAGTTGAATCATAGAAAAAGAAGGAAAGGAATGTTTAGTCTTAAATCTTATTATGTAACATTAGACATAATAACAATTTGCCATCAGTTTACTCAATGTAATAAGATTTTATTTTTAAAAAATCTGGAATCTTGATAAATTTGTACTTCACTGCTTGCTTTTGGCATCAAAGCTTTTCTTACTTAGTCCCTGACCTGAAAAGTAAAGGCACAGGCTAACGTTCTCAATTTGAAATCAAGGTGGCATCTGGATAAATTTATTAAATGTCCAGGTCACTGCTTACCTTGCCAGTGAGAAGTTCAAAGAGGACAGCACCCAAACTCCACCAATCACAGGCTTCAGTTTCTTCTGTGATTGCTCCAACCTCTAAACACACCAAAAAAGGTTGATATTAAAATTCCAAAGGTCAATTAAACTTTCAAAATTAACATGTATTAGCAAGGTGACCTTTTTAATGCTGAGAGAGCATTAAATACTACTGGGCTTTCAAAATTCCTGAAAGTTACTTATCCCTTTGGTCACCTACTGTGGTTGCATTTTTTTTTTCTGATGCAGTCATATATTAAAGTGAGACATTTGTTCTTTAGTTGATAGAGGGACACCTTCAAGATGCTATACTTGAAAGTTACAGGAACCAACTAGATCAGCATTTTGCTTAATCTTCAAATTTGAGAAAGTATAGCCAATTCTACCTCACAAATCACTTTTTGTTTTAAAAGAAACAAAGACTCTTTATGTTCGGAAGGAACTTCAAAAATTATCTAAGCAATATTAATTATTTTTTTACTTATAGGTTAGCAACCAGAAGGTGAAATGCCCTATCCAATGTCACACCACAATAGAATGAAGATCTAGTTTTCATCTTCACTTTCCCAATTGTTTCCAACTAAAGAAGCAGCACATGAAATACCAATTCGCCCATTTTGTAACTCAGAAGTACAGATATAACTGAAAATATTGGCTAAGGTAAAAACTTTCAGAATATTTATAAATCATGATTTTATCTGTGTTCTGCCATCACTCACTAGCACAAGTTCCTGAAATGTAATGAGTGTCCTCTTTCAAGGTTCTATACAAATCAGCAACAACTCCTCATTTTAACACTTTTGAAGCTTGTGGCCGTTGAGTTATGTTTGATGTCCTGTCCTTTGCTAATAACATTCTATTAGTGACTAAATTTGCCAATATCTGCCCTTTCATTTCAACTGAAAAATAAATCTTATCTAATCTTATTTGACTATGGGTTGTCCACTGCTCATAACAATAATGTTCGATTATAAGCAGTTAGATTGGAACTTGGAAAGTGTTAAGTGGAAGTGCTATTTAGGTGTCCAGCCTTTCAACCAATGCTTAAGCACATCAACTGTGTGAGAGAACCACACAACTATTAAAATACCTTGGGCTTTAGGTCTTGAAGCGAAGGTCACTTAGACTAGGAAAAGGATGGGGGAAAGCTTCCTATGCAAAGAACTGAAATTACTCCATTTCACAGGCTCCTTCCCCGTCCCTCCTCCTGGGCTGCAAACAGTTCATGAAGTACACACTTCACAACCAGCTCTCCCCGGCCTCCTCCTTCCTACAGTCCTTGTGCCAAATCACATCCTCCGTTCTTTAACTAGTTGCTCTCAGCATTAATAAAAGTTAGCTATGCTCAGCTAGTAAGTAAAAAGAAAACCGATATGAACCAATTCAAACTATTGTAAGAATAACTGAAAGACTCCAATCTTTTTAGAACCAATTTAATTAATAAAACAGGTACTTGTCTGAAAAAGTTGAGTACTACCTATCTAGCAATAGAGGTTTCATCATAAATATTATGGCACATCTATAACATAGAATGCTACTATGTAACCATTTCAAATGATATCTTCACAGATGATTTAGGTATATAAGCAAATGTATATATTGTTTTTAAAAAAGCTATACAAAAAATAGAATTCTAATTTTAAAAGTGTGTACTTTTTAAAAGACTGATGAGAAAAAAAGGGAAATATTTTAGTGATTCATCTTTTGGCCTGGTTGATTATTATACTTATTAAGCTACATAAATATCTAAGTGGGGGGCTGGGGCTGGGGCTCAACAGTAGAGCACTCGCCTAGCACCTGGGAGGCCCTGGGTTCGATCCTCAGCACCACATAAAAATAAATAAATAAAATAAAGATATTGTGTCCAACTACAACTAAATAAATAAATAAATAAATATCTAAGTGGTACAGCTTTTAAAAGTATAATAAAATAATACGAAAACTTTCAGGCTTATTGGAAAAGTGACTTTGGAGAAGGGAAAACTAAACTACGTAGGTTCTTCCTAACATTTGGTTCACCTACATAATTTTCACTACAAATTTAATATATTATACTTTAGAAAGAATAATGAACTAGGAATCAGGAGTCCTGGATTGAGTCTTAACGAATTCATGTGAACTCATCCATAACGCGAGGGTTAGATCTGAGGGCCTCTAGGTTACATTTAATTCTAAATTCTATGTTTTTAATACTTGAGAATTCCCTAACATGGTGTTTCCCAAGAAGGATAACTTCTTGTGGGCTCTCTTTCAAAGTACACATGCTGCCCCTCCCAGATTCAGAGTAGCTGCCCCCATTCCCACTCTGCACCTCCCCACATAGAACCATTATTACCTTCAGAAGTGTGCTCTTAAAAACTTTAGAAAGATGTGTTCTCAGAAACTTTAGAAAAGTAAACAGGAATTTACCATTGTCTTGTCATTAAATATAACCTTAGCACATTTCCTTCCAGTCTAAAGCAGACCACCAATTACATTATTTCCCCATTCAAAAGTCTATATGGCTTCTCACTGACCATTATATAACAATTCAAATGTATTGCTTCATCAGGCACATGTGTATATATAATCAACCTGCTTAATTAGGTCTGGACCCACCAAACTCATTCAACCAACACACAGAAAGCAGCACAAAGCAGGCTCTATACTAGGCACTACTCCTCCATAGACTATACTTTGGCCACACTGTTAAATAATATGAAATTAAAATCAGTGTTACAGTTCATGTTGTTAATCTTTTGCACCCAAATTTTAGTTTTTCCACTTCCTTTTATCAGTATGGCAACTAGTATCTATTTCTTAGTTTGATAGAGGCTTTACCTGTTCACTACCCAAAATCCAAAGTTACTGATCAGCCATCTGTTTTCAAAGTGCCACGAGCAAGCCTTACTTTCCATGTATGGATGTTTCTGTCCTCAGAGTGGGCATGCATAATGATAATGATAATTTCAACAATAAAACAGCAGCTAACATTCATTGGCTGATTACTATATATAAGGAACTGTGTTTAATCTTTAGATGAATCATTTGCAATTTCTGAAAAAACTTATGAAGAATCATTTGGGCAGGGTGACTTCTGGGAGAGAAACAATATTGTATTTATGTGTTTGGGGAGAACAGGGACATCTGACTCAGTCAGCTCAGAGAAATTAATAAGATGGCTTTTAGGATCAAACCACACATCCTAAGGACTCCAGATTAGAACCATACCCCCAATTTCTGCTCATAAATTTCCTTATTAGAACTCAGTGAAGGATTGCTGAGATGGGGCTATGTAATTAATAGCTCACACAATTTATAAAGGCACCTTTAAAATCCAGCAGAAGTCTAAAGTACCACCAACAATGTAGCCTTAACCATCAAAAGCTATGTGCTATACCTGTTCTTCTGCATCACTACTGGAATGTGCAACCCAGGAGCATAGAGTGGGGGATGCTCTTGAAGCCACTAGATAAACACAGTGCATCTTCCCCAGCCTCAAAGACTGTATGCACAGGAGTGGGTGGGATACTGTTTTATTATCTAAACACAAGGTAAAAGTTGCATGGATTCATAATATAAAAAGACTTCAAAGACATCTCAAAATCACATTTCATTAGTTTCCTGAGATACACATTTATACCACCTCTACAGTGAGAAGTACTTAGGTAGAAAAATTTGAGGGGTACTTGATGAGACAGATGCAGTGCACTCCTTTATTGTTTTCTGTGGGCTTGCTAGCTAGTCTAGAATGTACCATGTGGCACCTGAGGTAAATTAGCACTGACAACCACAGCAGCTTCTTTTACTCTCCATTTCCTTTCTATCCTTCCTTGGTCTTCACCTCTTCTTCCACTAACAGTCTGTCCTTTCCTCTCCCCTAATTTCCTCATTCTTCCTTCCTATTGGATGCAATTAGTTCTGCTGTCTAATGCCACTCAGGCCACAGACTGCTGGTCCCATCCAAGAAAAACTGCTCTCAAAAGTATTAAGACAGCTAGGCTGAATGACATCTTTGATCTGACTGGGCTGTAAAAGAAGGACAACAACTGTACAGAGGTACATTTATTTTTCATAAGAATATGGGGTAAAAAACAAGACATCGAGTAACTTTTGAATCTAACTCCTTAACAATGCAGCTTGAAACTCTTCAAAATGACTTCACATTAAGCAGGGATTCATTAACTAATGTGAAATTGACATCATGACCTCCTGTCCTTGATTTTCATAGCTAAGTTACAACAAAGAGTTACGTGTTAATATATAAAGAGAAACTTCCAATCAGTTTGGAAGCTTAAATATTAGAACAAGTTAAAGGACTTGTAAAATTTCTTCCATATAGGTTTTAAGACAAAACAATTTTTCTTTTGATTTCAGAATGAATTTTTTACACCCTTAAAGACCAATAACTGCTAGATTAAAAACTTTTGAGATGTACACTGAAACTTCCCAAGAAGTCTGGTGTGGTACTGTTGGAAAACCAATGTAGTGGCTCCCATATAAATGCTCCCTAAACAGGTCTACTCTCCTACACTGAACACCCCAAAACCATCCTCCTTAGGAAACAAAAACGGTATTTTAAATACACTTTAAACTTATGTTGCCAAAATACCTTTATGTTGTATAAAATAATCTCAAGTGTGGTGGCACGCACCGGTAATCCCAGCTACTCATTAGGCTGAGGCAGGAGGATCAAAAATTCAAGGACAGCCTGAGCAACTTAACAAGACCCTGCCTCAAAATAAAATTTTAGAAGGCTAGGAGGTGCTGGGGATATAGCTCAATTGGTAGAGTGCTTGCCTCGCAAGCCCAAGACCCTGGTTTTAATTCCCAGCACCACCAAAAACAAACAAAAAAAAAGGCTAGGGCTGTAGCTCAGTGGTCAAGCACCCTTGAGGTTGATCCCCAATATTGTAAAAAAAAATTTTTTAATAAAAAAGAAGGAAGCCTGAAATTATGTGGCTATCAAAATCACAGCTCTAAAATTGCTTTATTTGAAAAATCCATATAAAAAATTTAAACACAAACAGCACTGATTTATATATAAAGCTACAAGACAGTTATCACATACATCCAGGTCT